TTCAAAATTTACCATAATTTTAGAAAAAATGCTCACAATTGATCACGTGCTATCTTTGCATAGCATTCTTTGATATCAAAGCCTTAATTTCAAGGTCACAAAATAAAATGAATTAAAGAATAAAAAATTAAAATTTGAGAAATTCTTGTCCTATATTTAGTATTTATTATTAGACTGTGATACTTATCACACTGCATTGAAAAATCATCTTTTCAATTTTCTCTCTCTCACCAAGTTCAATCTGTTGGGCGTAGGGTCTCTTTCTCCCTTCTCACCCTGCCTTATACATATTTAGTTATATCCCGGTGGACAGAACATGGCACATAGTAGATATTCAGCAAATGAATTTTCTGAAAATTCTGAAAATTCTTGAGAATTTTTTTCAGTTCAGGGTTTTTGTTTGTAGACACCACTAACTGTAAGTAGCTTTAATTGCGAAAAGCCTCTTTGGTAGAGAGGTAAGAACTTAAAAATTCTTAAATATTGTGTGACTTCATTTTCTTGAGCAGCTTTAAAGTAAAACTTAGAATGGACATATAAATATTCCATATTGATATGTTTTATGGCTTTTGTAGCTATGATATAGAAGAACTAAAAACAGTATAGCTATTTAATAATAATAATAATAATAGACAACATTTAGTCAGCCCTTGTAGCAGGAATTATTATGAGTACTTTACATGCAGAATACCATTCAGTGCTGTCAGAAGCCTATGAGCCAATTATTATTAGCATTTCATATTTATAAATGAGGAAATTAAAGCTAAAAAGATTGAGTAAAAGCATAATAAATAGTAGAGGCAGAATTTGAATCCAAGTTGTGCTCTTGGTGGCTAAATTGTATTGCCTCCATTTTTAAATATTGATCTTCCGACAGGGAAATATAAAAGTTACATGTATAATCAGTGTCTGTTTTCAAGATGGCTTGTTTTATGAAGAGCTAGTAGGCAGATGTTTCTACATTTACATTAGTTATAAACTCCAAAAGTAAGTTTGCTTATTTTAAATTCAGCTATTCAACAAATATTAGTTTCATGTGTCACATATACTTGGTTTTAGGGTGGCTGGTTTGGGAATCAAAAGAAGTGTGAATGCCCTAGAAATGATCCCAAAGGGAGATGCATTCTCATCTGTAGTAAAAATCTGGGAGACAGGTGGAGAACAGTCAGGATTAGGAATTAAAATGTATTAAATAAACACTTAATAGGTTGTTGGATCATCAAGGTCTGTCTAGCTGATTGACCACTGTGTTGTTAAGTACTTCCTTTAATCAGTCTTGAGAGGAAGTGGTACATATCTCATAATGGTAGGAGAATGAACTCTTGGAAATCCATTGCCTATATTTGAATCATATACTTCTTAATAGGGATTTGTGACACTAAATAAATATAGGTACAGATAATACATATAATGTTTAAAATAGTACTTAGTGCATGTTAAGTACTATTTAAATGTTTGCTATTATTTTTAGTAATAGTGAAGCTTACTTTAAGCAAAATTAGTATCTAAGAATCTAAATAGATAAAATATATAAAGAAGGTTATTATTTAGATTTAAATAATATTTTTCATTTTGAGAAATAATTTGCAGTAAGATATTTTTAAAATAATGACTCTCATAGGGCAGGTAAGTTATTATACTACATTCACCAAAGATTATGGTCACAGTGTTTTAGATTTGTATCAATTATATAAAATGTGTATGCCCCACACACATTGGAGCACAACCTATTGATGATAACCTTTGTAAGATTCTGAGAAATACAGTCGATTCACCTTATTTGGTATTTAATGTTCTATAAAGTTTCTGTGAACACTGAATTAGCAAATATTAAACCATTGCTCCTAGAGGAAATACAGGTTGGGTTCCTGCAGGCTTCTGGTCACATTTTCATCGACTGATCAACATATAACCTTGTGTTATGTATTCTTGCTTAAAGATACTTTACATTAATATATATCATTGATTCGTTAACATTGAACTCACAGCCAAAAGCACTACAACCCATGCCTGGACGAAGCTTGTAACACGTGTTATTTTCTCTGCAAGGTACATAATAGCTTTTTTTTTCACTTAGGAACACTAGGCAACACATTAGCACTACTCTTGTTGACTATTTTAAACAGTAAAATTATAAACAAGGAGCACAAAAGTGAAAAAACACTGTGATACCAAAAGGATACCAGAAAGGGATACTTGGCTGTTTATAGTATGAGAGATGAAACAAGAAAGCAGATTGTTGCTTTGTTTTACCTGATCTTGGAATGTGAACATTGGGCAACTTAAATTATTTGCTGTTCTGCATCTGTCCATGAATGATCACAAGTATTGATTTGGGGGATTACAAATAAATTTTACCAAGTGGATGAATTTGCAAATAGCAGGCTAGACTAGATCATACCTTGCATTGAATGTGCTTTAAGAAGCTGCTTTTATTTAAGCAATAGAAATGTAAGTACCATTAACATTCATTTTTAATAACAACTCTACATTTTAATGTTTACTAAATTGATAATAAGCTGTTAACTTCTTCTTGCCTGGTTCATGCTGTATTTTCTATGTAATGATTTCTTAATTCAATAACCCATGTCTGTTTGATAACTTATGTATGCCAGGCACTGTTTCAGGCTCTGGATATGCACTAGACAACCAAACAGAAAAAATAACAGCTGTCATGCAGTGTACATTCTATTGGAATAGACAAGTAACAAAGCAAGATAAATAATAAAATATATATTATGTTAGAAAGTGATAAGTAAAATTTTAAAAAAATAATGAATCAGGAAAGGTGGATATGAAATGTTAGAAGATTGTATTCTGGTTATCTTTTGCCCAAAACTTAGTGGTTTATCAAATAACAATTTTATTCTTATCTCTCAGTGTTCTCTGGGATTGATAAGTTTCAACTGGATGGTTCTCCTTTGGTGTCTTTCAGGCGCTGTAATCAGGTGACAGCTGCAGCTGGCATCACCTGAATGATTCTTTACTCACAAGTCTGTTCTTTTTGCTGAAATATTTGATGAATGGGCTATAGTTGGGCATTTCTCTCTCCATGTAGTCTCTCTATATGGCTACCCTTTAGGTCTCAGGGTATGTGGTCTTCTTACATGGTGAATGGCTTCCCCTAAGTGAACATTCCCTGAGAGACTGGAGGAAGCTGCCAGTTCTCTTAAAGGCTAAGCCCAGTACTGGAATAAGTGTCACTTCTACCATATTCTTTTAGTCAAAGCAGTCACAGTCCAGCCCAGACTTACGAAAGATTGGAAAAATAGACTCCATTTCCTGATGGCAGTTGCATACATGGAGGGAAGGAATTGATGGGTATCTTGAAGACACGCTACCATAGTCTAGGTATTGAAAATTGATAGGATAGCTGTGTAAGACCTGACTGAGATGGTGCATTCAAAGTGAGACTGGTCAACATGGTTGTATCTTTTTGCAGGTACATTAAGCTGTGTGAGGATAGGCAAAGAGTAGGTGGAGAATTGGATTTAAACAATTACGGTTTTGTAAGATGAGTATGACAGAGGAGGAGAGAAGTTGACATTGTATGCAAGACAGAGATTATAATGATAGACAGTAGAACTGGAGGTAGGTAAGCAGGGTAGAGAAGACATGAAGGGTGTAAGAAAGTGAAAAAAATGGCAGATCCCAAAAAACTATTAGAACTAATAAAAGAGTAACAAAGTTGGCAGGATACAAGGTCAATAGACAGAAATCAACAGTGGGTTATATATTTTCAATGAACAATCAAAAATGAAGATAACAAGTCCACTTACAATAGCATTAAAAAGAATAAACTACTTAGGTAAAAACTTTACAAAAGAAGTGTTAAGTCTTGTACACTGACACTGTAAAACATTATTAAATCAAATATCTAAATAAATTGGAAGACATCGTGGTCATGGTTCAGAAGACTTAATATTGTTAAGAAGGCAGTATTCCTCAAATTGACTTAATGGATTCAGTGTAATCTCTGTCAAAATCCCAACTGGCTTCTTTTCAGGAATTGGCAAGCTGATCCTTAAATTAATGTGGAAATCCAGAAGACCCAGGATATCCAAAGTAATCTTGAAAAAAAAAACCAAAGTTGAAAGACTCACACTTCCTGATTTCAAAATACATGACAGAGCAATAGTAATCAAGACAGTGTGGTATTGGTGTAAAGGTAGATCAATGAGATGTAGTTGAGAGTTCAGGTATAAACCCTCCAATTTGTAATCAGTTGATTTTTGAGTGTGGTAGTAAGACAGTTCAATGACAGAAGGATTGTCTTTTCAACAAATGGTGCTGGGACAGCTGGATGTCTGCATGCAAAAGAATGAAGTTGGAACCCTATATCCTACCATACACAAAAAATTAAATCAAAATGAATCATAGACCTAAATGTAAGAGTTAAAGCTATGAAACTCTTAGAAGAAAACATAGGACTAAATCTTCATGACTTTGGGTTGGGCAATGTTTTCTTAGATTTGACAGCAAAAGCTGAAATAACAAAGGAAAAATTAGCAATATGTACCACATGAGAATTTAACATTTCTGTGCGTCAGAGGACACCATGAAGAAAATGAAAACGACCCACAGAATGGGAGAAAATATTTGCTAATCATATGGCTGACAAGAGACTTGTATCTAGAATGTACAAAGAACTCTTACAACTCAATAATAAAAAAGATAGCCCAATTTTAAACTGAGCCAAGGCTTTAAATAGACATTTCTCCAAAGAAGACATACTTATGCAAGATCACATAGATTGGTAGAGCGGGGATTCATAGTTGTATCTGGCTCTAAAACGTGTCATTTTCACTGTTATACTACCTTGGTGAACTTAAAATCCAACTCTTCACTCTGTCAAGAACTGAGTTCACAGTAGTTTATCACTTGTTTGGAAGAACTTTTGCTAATTTTAGAATATTGGGGAAAATAAGCTTTATTTCTATCAATACTTTCTAAACAATTTTTTCCTTGTTATATATTAGGACGTCTTGCCTGGCTGGTATACTTGGTTGGGACAGTTGTTGGAGGAAGATTAACATATACCAGTACAGATGAACATGACGCTATGGATGGAGAATTATCCTGTCGGTAAGTAGTAGCCATATAATTTACAGAAATTTACTAAGTACTTAGAAATTTAGTTACTGAGCTGCTATTATGAGCTAAAGCATTTTGTAGTTGGCCTTTTGGAGAAGGTATTATTTTCCTTTTTACTGATGAGAAAACCAAGGCTTAAGTGATTTGTAAAAGTCATATCTCTAATAAGTAGTATAGTCAAATATATTCATATGAATAATATGAGTAAGCTGGTTTTCCATATATTTTAATTCATTTTTAATAACATCTTTCTTTATAACAAAGTAATACATGTTTTTGTTGAACACTAAAGATTCAAATGAAAAGAAAGTTATATATTAATTTGGAAATAACTACTGTCATTTGGTAAAGATCTTTGAGTCTTTAATTAATGTTTGAGAGTATATGTATATTACATGTGTATTTCTCAACTTGTTTTCAACAAAAATTATACTATAATATTGTTTTGTAAACTAAAATGGGGATACTAGTACTATATCTAATTCATTTTGGGCTGTCATAAGGATTAAATAAGTTAATAATTTAAAAATAATTTTAAAGTGCTTAGGACAATGCCTGGCAAATAGTAAGCACTACATTACCAAAAAAAACCCCAAAATAATTCTTTTTTAAAAACTCAGACATAATAATTATTTATAAACATTTTATCTAGACATGACATATTCTAAGCTATACCATAATTTAAATAGGTCCTTGCTTTGGGAATTTTAGGTTGTTTCTCAATTTTTCCTTATTATAAGCGTGAATATTCTTTTAGCTATATCTTTATGTAGATCAAAATAATTTTATTAGAGTTAGGTCCTAAAAGCTAAATAGCTGGTTGAATAGTATATAGCACTTTAAAGACTTTCAATACACATTACCAAATGGCCTTCTGGAAAAGTGGTACCAGTTTATCCTCTGAGCCCAAAGGCCATGAGAGGCTATTGGGTTTTTGTTTTTTTTTTTGGCAGTTGAACACTAGGTGGTAGGATTCTTATCTTTGCCAGTTCATAGGTAACTGATGTCTCATTTTAATTTGTATTTCTTTGTTTACAAGTGGTGTCAAACATTCTTTTCCATTCCTTTTCTTGCCATTTCTATTTTCTCTTTGTGATTTTTTTATTATATGTAGATTGTATCATTCACCTGGTTTTCTTTTATGATTATCTTTCCTAATCCATAAGAACTCAGTATATATCAGTATATATCAAAGATTGCAATATTTTGCTATTCATTTTGCTATTCATTTTCTCCATATGTTTTAATTTGTTTTAGAAATTGCTTTTTTTCTGGCTTTAAACATTTATATATTAAGATCTGTGAATTTTTTCTTTCATACTTTTTTCAATGCTCATGTTTAGGAAGGTTGTTCCACACCTGGATAATAAACATATTCTGCTATATTTTCTCCTGGATCTTTTATGGTTTCAGCTTATATTTAATTTTTAATATATCCAACATTTATTTTGTTATGTACTTTTTCGAAAGTTTCCAAGTGTTAATCAGTTAATGTCAAACCCCACCCTTTACTGATTTGAAATGCTGCATGTATCTTACACAAAATTCTCATGTCTTTTTCTAGGCCTTTCATTCTTCTCCACTGATCTTGGAAGTCTATTAGTACACCACTATCACCCTACTGAAGTCTTTAGTATGATATTCTCCCTCATTATTATTCTTAAATATATTCGTAACTGTTTAATAAATTTGTTGCCATTTTGAATAGAGATTTCTCTCTCATTTCATACCCTTTTCAACCTTTAAACTACCTCATTTCAATGAAATTTGAATCTGAATGGAACATAAATATTTTTAGTTTTTCTTAAGATTTATTATTTCCAATATCAAACCACTTTAAAATATGACTGGAGGGCTTCCCTGGTGGCGCAGTGGTTGAGAGTCCGCCTCCCAATGCA